TGATTTTGACGTATGTTTGTATTTGGAGTATGCTGATTCTGAAAATGTAAGTGAATGTGAATGTGATGTATACTTTTAGAGTTATGAATATTGTGTAAAACTGTGTATTTTCCTGCCTGTGATAATTAAGTTAGACCAGGGGTAGGCAACCTACGGCACTAGTGCCATGCACAGCACTCGAGGTGCCTTTGCACGGCACTCAAGGCTGCTAGAGCCAAACAGGCTCCGGCCTATCAGGAGTCCCAGTAAAACTTCAGATATTTGCTAATACAAAGAGGCAGTGAAGGACAATCCTCAATTTATGCATTGCAGCATGTAGAGGAAGTGATCTCAGAGCACTTCATTCCAGCACTTGTGAATGGGAATCCACACAGTAGTAGAGCAGCTCACAGTTGTTGTTGCAGCTCCGGTCCTTGATCTGTACCTGGTCAACATGGTCCCCACTGGAACCCACGGGAGCCACCCACACTGCTTGATATACACAGAAATGCAGAAAGACCCTCCCCTCATGCAAAACCCCAAACAGCCCCCACACATACACACACTACTAAACACACAATGTGACATCCATCCACACACACAATTCCGCAAGCTGCCCACATACACAGCCCACATTCATATGTATCATACACGATACCACAATCTACTCATGAACATATACAATATCATAGCTCATATACGCACAAATACAACGATACAAAGCAATTACAGTATAAATAACACATGCAGAATACGGCAGCATACACACTTCAATTTAAAAAAAAAAAAATAGGACCGGCACGCTACGGGACATCACAATCCTATATCGGCACAGTGCTGCTAAAAGGTTGCCTACCCCTGAGTTAGACCATTGTGTTCAGTAATTATATCACAGGCAGAGGGGAGGATTTTGTGTGGGAGTGTATGAGTGTATTGTACGTATTGATTGGTTGTTCTGCAAAACCCTGTGGGCAGTACTATGTTTGTGGAATGTGGATAAAAGAGGCTGTATGTGCCAGTACAGTCAGTTCTACTTCACCCACAATCTGAGTCCTGTCTCTTATTGGGGGAATCTGCTACAAGGGATTGCTATGCTCTGCATATTCCCTTGCTATAATCACTGAGCTCTTGTAAGAGCTTGTTCCTGTATTTCTCTCTGAAGGAGTCTACGGTGGTTATGGTGTTGGCTGGAGTACTTGGAGCTCTCAGGAAGCGCTAGGAGCATCCTTCAACGGAGGTACCCAGTCGGGGTGCCAGGTAATCCGTTACAGAGTGTATTAGCCAGTAGTAGGTGGGTCAGTTTTGTACACATTATTTGCATGTGCACATCTCTAATAGTGTCTAGCCCGGGTATTGTCCCCATATAGTGTGTAAACCAGGCACAGGATTTCCTGATAGTGTGTAACTGGATACAGTCTGTAACAGTCTGTAACTGGGTACAGTCTCTCCTGACATTGTGTAACTGGGTACAGTCTCTCCTGATAGTGTGTAACTGGGTACAGTCTCTCCTGATAGTGTGTAACTGGGTAGAGTGTAACTGGGTAGAGTCACACTGATAGTGTGTAACTGGGTACAGTCTCTGCTGATAGTGTGTAACTGGGTAGAGTCTCTGCTGTTAGTGTGTAACTGGGTAGAGTGTCTTCTGATAGTGTGTAACTGGGTACAGTCTCTCCTGATAGTGTGTAACTGGGTACAGTCTCTCCTGATAGTGTGTAACTGGGTACAGTCTCTCTGATAGTGTGTAACTGGGTAGAGTCTCTCCTGATAGTGTGTAACTGGGTACAGTCTCTCCTGATAGTGTGTAACTGGGTACAGTCTCTCCTGATAGTGTGTAACTGGGTACAGTCTCAGTGTCTTCTGATAGTGTGTAACTGGGTACAGTCTCTCCTGATAGTGTGTAACTGGGTACAGTCTCTCCTGATAGTGTGTAACTGGGTACAGTCTCTGCTGATAGTGTGTAACTGGGTAGAGTCTCTGCTGATAGTGTGTGTGACAGATTCATCTGCATTGTTGGTTCGTCTGTTTCCCTTTTGTTCGCGGAATTGCCTGTTCCTATACCCCCGTTCGTGTAATTTGCAAAATACCGATTGAAACTACCGAACGAACGACCACCCAGGAGAGGAGTGTGCTGCTGGTTAACCTCCTGGCCCCAATTAGAACGTTGTGGTTAACCGCAGACACCTCTCCATTCCATTCGTACGGGTGGTCGTCGTTCGCATGTCGACCACGAGGCAGCGGCCATTTTGGGACATACGAACACAGAGCGGTGTTCGGTACAAACTGTATGGAACTAAAAACGGACACTTAAACTACCGAACACCGCTGAAAAGCTGCTGCCTACCTTCCTTTTCGACAAGGCATGCGAACGACGGTCGTTCTGGAGTTTTATTCATTCGTATGGACTTTCACCCCGACAGCCATCCCATGGAGTCATTCGTATACCGAAGGACTGGTGAAGGACTTTGACTCCATGGCGATTCGACTAGATACATCAGATCTGAGCGCTATTCGGTGAAAACATGCACTCAGATCCAGACTGTCTGGGGATACGTTACACGAACTATATGCATTCGGTATTTCTTCAGTTATGTATTTTAATGTATTTTTATTACTGTAAGTTAAAATGGCGATTGTCTCTACCTTGGGAGATAATTAGGTTTCTTCCTAATTATCTCCGGGGTAGAGAAGACGGATTTATGGGTAAGATGGGAAGGGCTATTATTGAAGCCACTGCGATTGGCTACTGTCCAATATGTTTTACAGTCTTCCACAAGGTCCCCTTGGGGAGTGTCCACCTTGTGGAGACCTGCATAAATACCGGGCAGGTAGCCCCCATTAAACAGAACTTCATTTGACCCTCAAGACGGAGCTTGGTCTCGTTTGTGGGGGAATTATTACTGGGACAGCGCTTTCGTTATTTCTAGCTGTGGAAGGCGTTCGACTGTTTAGCTGATCGGGAGTTGCCGCGTTCGTGGACTTCGTTCGGGAGTTTGGCGATCGGCTGGATTTAAACTGTATTTCTGGAAAAAGGGATTATTGCCTAAACGGCGGCTTCATCTACCCGACGGTACGTGTCGTAACAGTGTGTAACTGGGTACAGTCTCTCCTGACATTGTGTAACTGGGTAGAGTGTATTCTGATAGTGTGTAACTGTGTACAGTCTCTCCTGTTAGTGTGTAACTGGGTAGAGTGTATTCTGATAGTGTGTAACTGGGTACAGTCTCTCCTGTTAGTGTGTAATTGGGTACAGTCTCTCCTGATAGTGTGTAACTGGGTACAGTCTCTCCTGTTAGTGTGTAATTGGGTACAGTCCCTCCTGATAGTGTGTAACTGGGTACAGTCTCTGCTGATAGTGTGTAATTGGGTACAGTCTCTCCTGATAGTGTGTAACTGGGTACAGTCTCTGCTGATAGTGTGTAACTGGCTAAAGTCTCTGCTGATAGTGTGTAACTGGGTACAGTCTCTGCTGATAGTGTGTAATTGGGTACAGTCTCTCCTGATAGTGTGTAACTGGGTACAGTGTCTTCTGATAGTGTGTAACTGGGTACAGTGTATTCTGATAGTGTGTAATTGGGTACAGTCTCTCCTGATAGTGTGTAACTGGGTACAGTCTCTGCTGTTAGTGTGTAACTGGGTACAGTCTCTGCTGATAGTGTGTAATTGGGTACAGTCCCTGCTGATAGTGTGTAACTGGGTACAGTCTCTGCTGATAGTGTGTAACTGGGTACAGTCCCTGCTGATAGTGTGTAACTGGGTACAGTCTCTCCTGATACTGTGTAACTGGGTACAGTCTCTGCTGATAGTGTGTAACTGGGTAGAGTCTCTCCTGATAGTGTGTAACTGGGTACAGTCCCTGCTGATAGTGTGTAACTGGGTACAGTCCCTGCTGATAGTGTGTAACTGGGTAGAGTCTCTGCTGATAGTGTGTAACTGGGTAGAGTGTATTCTGATAGTGTGTAACTGGGTACAGTCCCTGCTGATAGTGTGTAACTGGGTACAGTCCCTGCTGATAGTGTGTAACTGGGTAGAGTCTCTGCTGATAGTGTGTAACTGGGTACAGTCTCTGCTGATAGTGTGTAACTGGGTAGAGTGTATTCTGATAGTGTGTAACTGGGTACAGTCTCTGCTGATATTGTGTAACTGGGTAGAGTCTCTCCTGATAGTGTGTAACTGGGTACAGTCCCTGCTGATAGTGTGTAACTGGGTACAGTCTCTGCTGATAGTGTGTAACTGGGTACAGTCTCTCCTGATAGTGTGTAACTGGGTACAGTCTCTGCTGATAGTGTGTAACTGGGTACAGTCTCTGCTGATAGTGTGTAACTGGGTAGAGTCTCTCCTGATAGTGTGTAACTGGGTAGAGTCTCTCCTGATAGTGTGTAACTGGGTAGAGTGTATTCTGATAGTGTGTAACTGGGTACAGTCTCTCCTGTTAGTGTGTAACTGGGTCCAGTCTCTCCTGATAGTGTGTAACTGGGTACAGTCTCTGCTGATAGTGTGTAACTGGGTAGAGTGTATTCTGATAGTGTGTAACTGGGTACAGTCTCTCCTGTTAGTGTGTAACTGGGTACAGTCTCTGCTGATAGTGTGTAACTGGGTAGAGTCTCTGCTGATAGTGTGTAACTGGGTACAGTCTCTCCTGACATTGTGTAACTGGGTAGAGTGTATTCTGATAGTGTGTAACTGTGTACAGTCTCTGCTGATAGTGTGTAACTGGGTAGAGTGTCTTCTGATAGTGTGTACAGTCTCTCCTGATAGTGTGTAACTGGGTAGAGTCTCTGCTGATAGTGTGTAACTGGGTAGAGTCTCTGCTGATAGTGTGTAACTGGGTACAGTCTCTCCTGACATTGTGTAACTGGGTAGAGTGTATTCTGATAGTGTGTAACTGTGTACAGTCTCTGCTGATAGTGTGTAACTGGGTACAGTCTCTCCTGTTAGTGTGTAACTGGGTAGAGTCTCTCCTGTTAGTGTGTAACTGGGTAGAGTGTATTCTGATAGTGTGTAACTGGGTACAGTCTCTCCTGTTAGTGTGTAATTGGGTACAGTCTCTCCTGATAGTGTGTAACTGGGTACAGTCTCTCCTGATAGTGTGTAACTGGGTACAGTCCCTCCTGATAGTGTGTAACTGGGTACAGTCTCTGCTGATAGTGTGTAATTGGGTACAGTCTCTCCTGATAGTGTGTAACTGGGTACAGTCCCTGCTGATAGTGTGTAACTGGGTAAAGTCTCTGCTGATAGTGTGTAACTGGGTACAGTCCCTGCTGATAGTGTGTAACTGGGTAAAGTCTCTGCTGATAGTGTGTAACTGGGTACAGTCTCTGCTGATAGTGTGTAATTGGGTACAGTCTCTCCTGATAGTGTGTAACTGGGTACAGTGTCTTCTGATAGTGTGTAACTGGGTAGAGTCTCTGCTGATAGTGTGTAATTGGGTACAGTCTCCTGATAGTGTGTAACTGGGTACAGTGTCTTCTGATAGTGTGTAACTGGGTATTCTGATAGTGTGTAACTGGGTACAGTCCCTGCTGATAGTGTGTAACTGGGTAAAGTCTCTGCTGATAGTGTGTAACTGGGTACAGTCTCTGCTGATAGTGTGTAATTGGGTACAGTCTCTCCTGATAGTGTGTAACTGGGTACAGTGTCTTCTGATAGTGTGTAACTGGGTAGAGTCTCTGCTGATAGTGTGTAATTGGGTACAGTCTCTCCTGATAGTGTGTAACTGGGTACAGTGTCTTCTGATAGTGTGTAACTGGGTATTCTGATAGTGTGTAACTGGGTACAGTCTCTCCTGATAGTGTGTAACTGGGTACAGTCTCTGCTGTTAGTGTGTAACTGGGTACAGTCTCTGCTGATAGTGTGTAATTGGGTACAGTCCCTGCTGATAGTGTGTAACTGGGTACAGTCTCTGCTGATAGTGTGTAACTGGGTACAGTCCCTGCTGATAGTGTGTAAGTGGGTGGAGTCTCTCCTGATAGTGTGTAACTGGGTACAGTCTCTCCTGATAGTGTGTAACTGGGTAGAGTCTCTCCTGATAGTGTGTAACTGGGTAGAGTCTCTCCTGATACTGTGTAACTGGGTACAGTCTCTGCTGATAGTGTGTAACTGGGTAGAGTCTCTCCTGATAGTGTGTAACTGGGTACAGTCCCTGCTGATAGTGTGTAACTGGGTAGAGTCTCTGCTGATAGTGTGTAACTGGGTAGAGTGTATTCTGATAGTGTGTAACTGGGTACAGTCTCTGCTGATAGTGTGTAACTGGGTAGAGTCTCTGCTGATAGTGTGTAACTGGGTACAGTCTCTCCTGATACTGTGTAACTGGGTACAGTCTCTGCTGATAGTGTGTGTTACGACACGTACCGTCGAGTAGATGAAGCCGCCGTTTAGTCAATAATCCCCTTCTCCAGAAATGCAGTTTAAATCCAGCCGACCGCCAAACTCCCGAACGAAGTCCACGAACACGGCAACTCACGATCAGCAAAACAGTCGAACGCCTTCCACAGCTAAAAATAACGAAAACGCTGTCCCAGTAATAATTCCCCCCACAAACGAGACCAAGCTCCGTCTTGAGGGTCAAATGAATATCTGTTTAATGGGGGCTACCTGCCCGGTATTTATGCAGGTCTCCACAAGGTGGACACTCCCCGAGGGGACCTTGTGGAAGACTGTAAGACATATTGGACAGTAGCCAATCGCAGTGGCTTCAATAATAGCCCTTCCCATCTTGCCCATAATTCCGTCTTCTCTACCTCGGAGATAATTAGGAAGAAACCTAATTATCTCCCAAGGTAGAGACAATCGCCATTTTAACTTACAATAATAAAAATACATTAAAATACATAACTGCAGAAATACCGAATGCATATGGTTCGTGTAACGTATCCCCAGACAGCCTGGATCTGAGTGCATGTTTTCACCGAATAGCGCTCAGATCTGATGTATCTAGTCGAATCGCCATGGAGTCAAAGTCCTTCACCAGTCCTTCGGTATACGAATGACTCCATGGGATGGCTGTCGGGGTGAAAGTCCATACGAATGAATAAAACTCCCGAACGACCGACGTTCGCATGCCTTGTCGAAATGGAAGGTAGGCAGCAGCTTCCAGCGGTGTTCGGTAGTTTAAGTGTCCGTTTTTAGTTCCATACAGTTTGTACCGAACACCGCTATGTGTTCGTATGTCCCAAAATGGCCGCTGCCTCGTGGTCGACATGCGAACGACGACCACCCGTACGAATGGAATGGAGAGGTGTCTGCGGTTAACCACAACGTTCTAATTGGGGCCAAGAGGTTAACCAGCAGCACAATCCTCTCCTGGGTGGTCGTTCGTTCGGTAGTTTCAATCGGTAGTTTGCAAATTCCACGAACGGGGTTATGTGAACAGGCAATTCAGCGAACAAAGGGAAATAGACGAACCAGCAATACAGATGAATCTGTCACAGTGTGTAACTGGGTAGAGTCTCTCCTGATAGTGTGTAACTGGGTAGAGTCTCTGCTGATAGTGTGTAACTGGGTACAGTCTCTGCTGATAGTGTGTAACTGGGTAGAGTCTCTCCTGATACTGTGTAACTGGGTAGAGTCTCTGCTGATAGTGTGTAACTGGGTAGAGTCTCTCCTGATAGTGTGTAACTGGGTACAGTCTCTGCTGATAGTGTGTAACTGGGTAGAGTCTCTCCTGATACTGTGTAATTGGGTACAGTCTCTCCTGATAGTGTGTAACTGGGTAGAGTCTCTGCTGATAGTGTGTAACTGGGTACAGTCCCTGCTGATAGTGTGTAACTGGGTAGAGTCTCTCCTGATAGTGTGTAACTGGGTAGAGTCTCTGCTGATAGTGTGTAACTGGGTACAGTGTCTTCTGATAGTGTGTAACTGGGTACAGTCTCTCCTGATAGTGTGTAACTGGGTACAGTCCCTGCTGATAGTGTGTAACTGGGTAGAGTCTCTCCTGATAGTGTGTAACTGGGTAGAGTGTATTCTGATAGTGTGTAACTGGGTGCAGTCTCTCCTGTTAGTGTGTAACTGGGTAGACTCTCTCCTGATAGTGTGTAACTGGGTACAGTCTCTCCTGATAGTGTGTAACTGGGTACAGTCTCTGCTGATAGTGTGTAACTGGGTAGAGTCTCTCCTGATAGTGTGTAACTGGGTACAGTCTCTCCTGATAGTGTGTAACTGGGTACAGTCTCTGCTGATAGTGTGTAACTGGGTAGAGTCTCTGCTGATAGTGTGTAACTGGGTACAGTCTCTCCTGTTAGTGTGTAACTGGGTAGAGTCTCTGCTGATAGTGTGTAACTGGGTACAGTCCCTGCTGTTAGTGTGTAACTGGGTACAGTCTCTCCTGATAGTGTGTAACTGGGT